GAGTGATGTGATCAAATTTCCTTCTGCCAGTTAAAAATTGTGCTGATGAATTCTGAAACCATGACGGAGTTATATTATTATGTGCACAAATAAGAAGGCATCATCACATCATGCAAGCAGAGCTCTTCCATTTATGTTTGTGTAGCAAAATGATTTGCCTCTAGTTTTGTTTGTGGTTTTTACTGTAAATGGGTGGCGTTCCCACTCTGGCTCAGGGAAGGGTTTTTGGCCCAGGTAGAGGAGTTTACATAGGGGTGCAGGAGATTGACAGATGGAGTAGAGCTACATCTGCTGTAATGTAGGTTCTGTATCTGTCTATTGTGTATTGTAAACACCGAGTGTAAAAATGAAGCTTTTAGTTTACCCTGTTGATCTACACCTCACCTATGGCCATGAGCTCTGGGTAGCCACTGAACGAATGAGAATGCAGATACAAGTGGTGGAAATGAGTGTGGCTGAGCTCTCCCTTAGAGATAGGGTGAGGACTTCCACGATTTGGGAGGTACAGCTGCTTGGAATTTGACTAGGATGCCTCCTGGGCAAGGTATTCCAGGCATGTTCTACCAGGAGGAGGCCCCGGGGTAGACCTAGAACATACTGGAGAGATTACATCTCTTAGCTGGCCTGGGAATGCCTCAGCATTCCCCCAAATGAGCTGGAGGAGGTGGCTGGGGAGAAGGAGGTCAAGACTTCTCTGCTTAAGCTGCTGCCCCCGTGACCCAGCTCCAGAGAAGCAGTAGAAAACGGATGGATAGTTTAGTTTGTTTTGCCTATTTGGAGCTGGGAAGATTTTTGATATTTACTTCATTACATGTGCTAAAGTAACAACTTTTACTGTAGCATGTGTTTTTACAAAGTGAAAGTACTTTGGCTAGTCTACCACCCCCCATCTGATCCACTTAAAGAGCCCTTAGTATGATGTTAGTTGTCTGTCACTTGGCATTCAGTGTGGTGAACCAGTCACAGTCATACTTTTTGTGGTTAACCAGCTGTATGCGCTGTATGCTGTGTTCTGTTTTCTAGCCAGGCTTCCGTGTGGTTGACCCAATGTGTGGGGTGGGGACCATCTTAATAGAAGCTGCACAGGAGCATAAGGTCAGAAAAGAAATCATGTACTGTAGATCTTTAAAGTGTAGAAATGTTTAGAAAAGTTTGTTTATGAGGTTTAAAAATCCCTGTTTCTGGGATTTTCAGGATGCCTGTTTCCTGGGTGTGGATATTGATGAAGCACAGCTGCAGAAGGCCAGTGAGAACATAGCATTTGCTGAGTTGGAAAACAGAATAAACCTGCTGAAAGCGTCGTCTCTGGGTAGGTCAGCTGCACACAAAAAGAGCAGTAAAGTAAGCTAAATGTTACATTATTAATACATGTCTTACTTAATTGTATTAAACTAATGTTCTCATTTAAAAAGAGGGACAGACGTTAACTTTTTAAATCGCACCAGTTGTAAATCCAGTGCAATACAAGTCGTTTTAAGGCGGACGACAGATGGCCCTGTGTGCATGAATGAATCTAGTCATGTGTAAAATTAGCCAGACATGTGAAAATATAGATAAACATGAAAAAATTATAATGTGCACATTTCTTTGAATGTCACATATGACATGTTCAGTCTTATCAAACCTGACTGGCGTTACTTATATGAGGTTAGTCTTTATGGTATCTTAGAGTACATTTCTTTTTTTAATAGAGGAATTATATCTTGATAAGACCGACCACCATAAAGTAGCTCACATTTTCACATTTTAAAAAAAGGATTAAATTATAAATTGAATTACTATAAATTAAATTTTAACTATATTACAAATTCATGTCTTTGAGAAGTTAAATATTGAATCTTAGCTCCTGAATTTTCACTGTGGATGCATGGCTGCATTTTTTGGATAGGACTCAGTGAGTGGGAGGTTAGTGTGAAGCCTGTTGTCGTATATTAAATTACCTCTAGGCTTGTTTGTCCTCCTCTGTGTGTGCAGTACTGCCTGTGCCCAGTGCCACTGTAGACGCTGTGATCTGTGACCTGCCATTTGGCAGGAAGTTTAGCTCCAGAATAGACATGGCTGCCAACTTGCCACTCATCCTGACAGAGATGGAGAGGTTTGTTCCTATGTTTGTCGGTCTCAATTGTTTCTTTTAGAATTGTTTGGCGAAACAGAAAACATTACTTGTTTTCTCTGTGAATGTGTGTGCACTGTGGATTTTTAGCTTGGGAGTCACTTTGCACATCAGTACACATCCTAAGCTGTCTTATTGTTCTGTTTTTTAGTTAGTTAGTTCTTTTTTAATAGGAAAAACTAAATTAATGCATAGATAAAAATGTCATAGCCATTATTGGAATAAGCATTGAAAGATAGAGATGCAACTATTATAACAAATGTTTGTGTCTAGAGTTCTCCGTCCTGGTGGTATCCTGGTGCTCCTCCTGAGTCCTCAGTTGTCCTGTCTACTCAAAAAACTTCTAATACAATATGATACTGGACCAACATCTAACCCTGAAACAAAGCCTCAGACTGGGATGCAAAACTGCCCATCTTCTTCCAGATCTCCTTCTAAGAAGCAGACTTTCCAAATCCACTCTGGGGTCAAATCCTCACCAAGCCAAGAAACCAAGCTTCAACACAGTCTGCCTTTCACTGTGTCCTCATTGAAGCATCAAGCAACTTTCAGAGTCAGCTTAGGAGCAATAGATGGACTTATTCATAAATATGTCAAAACAGACTGTTGTGTTTTCAGGGATGTTATGTTTTAAGGCACTTGGTTTGATTTTCTTTGTTGCTAACATGTAAAAAAAAAAAGTGGCCATGTTGAAATACCACTGTGTTTTAACCGCTCTGTAACATGTTTTGGTTTGCTTACAACTTTTTAATTGTAAATGAGATTTCCAGGTATTTAAAATATGTTTTGGAAGCAGCTGAGAAATTATTTGTGAAAGCTTACAAGTAAAGAAATTTTGATTTTCCAATCCTCCAGCAGTGCTTGACCTCTAATTTCTAAAATCCTGCCCGTGGCACTCATTCCCAAGCTCACTTATTCATTGATTATGGTTATCTTTAAAAAGCAACTCACAAATGTTGCTCAGTATCTCAACATGTTCATAAAATTGCCAGACACTGCCTTTTTTTGCATTACTTTTTAATCAAACTGTGATAAATTGTGAATTTCTTCTCAACACTTTTCAGGTTAATAACACTGGCATAGTCCCCTGCTTTTTGTTTTGCTAATGGGGGACCATTCCATGGTGACTGTATGGTTTTTTTTTTAAGAGTTTTATGGCAGAAAATAGTTTACTTTTTAAATCAATTGTGTGTTTAACTGTTTCATTATTTGCTAACACTACTGGAAAATATGAAATATCTCTAAAACGGTAACAGGAAAAGATGGGATTGTTTTTCCCTGCATCACAGACCCCCTCACTGAATCATAAAGTTGCCATCTGCCACTGTTTAGCCCTGCTTAGCCCAGTTTTACATTAAGGGAGCCAAATAATGCAGCCATAGAGCTTAGTGTTTTTCATTCATTTCCTTTCCCCTACAGCTTCCTGTGTAAATCCCAAAATCTGACTTTATTTTCATTATATAGTGAAATCAGTGTAGGTTTGGATTATAATTTGTATTTTTTTCTGCTGTTTCTTAATATGTATCCATACAAGCAACTAGTGAAGTAGTAAGCAAATAGTAATAATTTAATTGCATTTTAATTACCATATTCAACTACGAAATCCGTTTCCAAACGCATTAAAATTTAACAACACACGTCTCCCCCATCAGACACCATGGAGAGGGTACGCCATGATGTCCATTGCGCATGCCCAATGCGCAGTGGAAGCCATGTTGGAGCTACATTGGATTCAGGCTGGGATTTTCTGACGCCGTATGTTTTTCTTTAAATATCTGTTTTCGTACATTGTTGGGGTTCGTAAACCGTGCGCGATCGGCGCCGTAATCGGCAGTGGAAATGATGAACTCCAGTGTCGACCTGTCCCGGCGGAATCCACAGGAGGATTTCGAGCTGATCCAGAGGATAGGAAGCGGCACATACGGAGATGTGTACAAGGTAAAACTGCAGTGCGCAATCACATAGTTCCATTTTCGGACACAGAGTAGTTAAACACCACCAGCGTATTTACAGTCTTGTGGTCCTACAGTGGTTTTATAACAGTAACGAATCGTTTCTATAGCCATAAGTGGGCTGTTTCTAATATGCTGTTACCAGAAGGTTTTTGTTTTGATGCTTGTTGGTACAGTAATTACTGTGCTACTCATGTTATAATTCCATTGTCGGACACACAGCAACTGTTTGACTTCGCTTGTGTTTATGGTTGTTATTGTCTTGGCCTTTTTATCCATGCTTGTTTAGAGATCCGGGTTACCATTATGTTAATGTTTTCTGGCTGCTAACATGCCTGGGTTAAGACTTAGTTAACGTTTAATGTAAACCCAACGTTAATTCTTGGTTTGTTGAGCACCGATCATATTTACCTCCGTGTAAGTGAGTTGTTGCACAAATTGTGCTACGTCGACGTGCTTGTTTGTACTCGCTGGACTGTGGCTGTGGTCTAAATTGCGTTGTGAATAACAGCAGTTAATGTTAAAGAAGAAGTAGGAGTGGTTGATGCTTGTCCGGTAATAGACCTGCAGTAGCTTAGCTGTCCGACAACGGACTACTAACTTGATAGCATCAAGAAGCTAGCTGGGACGTCTTGATGCTACATGAGAAAACTGTCGCAAGTAGTGAACATGCAGTGATTTGTTACCCTTACACGAACACACACTAAAAAAGAGACTACCTGATAGTTTACTGGCTGTTTGTAGTATCGTAGAGGCTTCGCAAAACATGTTAAACCTGTCCGCGTATCCCGGACAGAGACTGACAGCTGCCTTTCCTTTGGCTAAAGCGCTCAGATCTGACCAAGCTACAACAACAACAACCGTGAAATAACCACTTCATATTGTTGTTTTTCACACTTTAACGTCAGTAGGCACTCGTCGGGTCATTTTTAAAGAACCGTGGTGCTCATTTTTATGTAGGCTGTGTAATACAGTTGGCCTCTTAGTCACTGGGCTCCACACTTTACCGAGGCCCAGTGCTGGGAACCCAAAGCCTGTAATCCAAACTGTAAGGAAGTTCCTGAATGCTGTGCAACTCCATCATAGTCTCAACGACTGTGTCATTGTTCGTTATATGTAACACAAAACAACAGCAGTAATAGCCACGTACCACAACAGAAACACAACAAGCTGGTCATGTATCATGGGAAATGATACAAAATATGACAAAGTATCCCCAAATAATGCTGCAGTACATGAAAACCAATGAGAATATGTAGGCCAGGATACTGTAACTCTAAAACTAAGAACCATGGACATAAAAAAGTAAACCTATCAGTCTCACCCGTTTTATCTGCCCTCTGTAGCAAATCAGTAAGGTTACAAAAGTTAACCATCTATACCCTCAGTTATGTATTTGTTTGTGTAATAGTCACTCTGTTGTGGAATTTAACTGCTGTGTGAGGGAGGCTTTTTGTAGACTGGAGATTCATTAAACACGGTAATAGGACTTGATGATGTTTGGTTAACCTCCAGGGTCTTTGTGGTAATTACAGGAATCCTAAAGACTAGAGATGTTAAATATTTCCAGTCTTTTTGAACACGCACAGTCTGTTAATTTCAATCCTAAATAGTCCATCATATGCATATTATATCCTTATTTATTTTGTGTGCGTTTTCACAAGTGCCCCTCATACCCGCCCACCCTCCGCTGCTCCTAATCTTGTTTGTTTCTAATTTAAGTTCAGTATCTTGCCTTGTTGTAGATAGGTAGGTTGGCATCTCAGACTTGATTCCCCTTCCAGGCCTGGAACAAGCGGCACATAGCTGATTAATGTGCACCAAAGTAACTTGAAAAACAGTTATAAAGGACAAAAATCACACAACTACACAACTTAAATATGGCAGAATTATGAGTTAAGTTGTAATTTCTCACTGGAAGCAGATTAATATGTTGATAAGGATGCTATACTGTAGGAACTATGATCATTATGTAGCTAAATGTCTATTTCATTGTTCCAGCAGGAATTTACTGAAAGACCTGAAACCTCTGGATGTGCTTTTAAGCACCAAGGCACATGGTAAACCTCACCGATGCCTATATTTGGTTCTACCACTGTGTGAAAAAGTGTGGCTTGGACAGGAATGTTTGAGCAGGAAATAAAGCATGAACTCTGCTAGCTTGTTTTCTCCTCTGTTTGTGGACCTGCCACTCTTTGTGTATCTGTTAGAAACTGTAGGAGGAGCATTGGCTGATGTTGAGACAGGCCTTCTGTGTAAAAGATCACAAATCTGAGCCTCACAAAAGAGAGTTTTCAGGGTGAATTTGTAGCTCAAATTTTACAAAGAGGGGAACCCGTATTTTGTGAAACCACCAACACTGCATGGTAGTTAGTAATATATGTAAAGCGAGCCATTTCAGGTCAAATAAGCACCAAGGGTTCAGGTGTTTCTCCCAAAACCCAGGTAAGGATGGAGGAAAATACCTTAAAATGGTGAACAGTCAGTAGAACTACAAGTCTCTGTGTCATATGATTAAAATGTTTACCTTCAAAGTAAGGTGACGTAAGGTAGACATAAGGGTTGTGGCACAACCCTGGGGCTGTGTAGTAAGTTGGGACAAGTGAGTATTTAATGGTGGTCAGTTTATCCACATTTAACACCACATTATTTCCCCAGAAATAAATAACAGAAACTAGACACAGGATTGGTATTCCTGAACGCAAATCCTCCACGTATCGATACTGGAAAACAGCCTTCCTACTCCTCTTGTATTAGAGGTGACAGTTTTGTCTGATTCACATATTAAGCTCCTTCTCACCTTCGTGGATTACACTGCCTTTTGAAAACAAAAGGTATATTCAGTGTCAACTTTCATGTTAAGAATTACCGGAACATGATAGCAGTAAACTGCACGCAGCACACTTATGTTTGCCAGTCTTGTTGGTGAGTCAAAGATAAGCCAACAAAAAAAAAGACATTGACAAACCAAGCTTTCTCTCACTACCATTTTTATTGATTTGCCACTTAATTCTGGGCGAGCGGTGGAGCGACTACACTCTTCTTTTTAAGTTCCACTTTATCATTTATACTGCTTCAATAAATGCAAGTATCAGCTCAATATGTTGCTCTAAAGTCATAAAAAGAAATCTGTTCCAGACGTACTACTGCTGTACCTGCCCTCACTTTATTTGCGTCAACAGACAAAGCACAGACCGAGTATTCATATGAAGGCTTATTTTGTTTGAGAATTTGAGATTGTTGTGTTCTCACGAAACACTTCAAGAATCTGCAAAATATTAGATATCATGTAAGAGGTTAGCAATGGTATTATGGCTGTTTACCTTTTTTTAAACTGATTTTGAGTCCGTTTACTAGCATGGACATCTGCATATGCCAGAGTCGACATAGTTATTTGTGTCTGGTTATTGACACTGAGAAAAGCAGAACGTTTTTTAAATGTATTGTGGGGAGAATTTGCGTTTTAAAATGGCCTTAACTTGAAACTCTGCATTAGGATGTTGGAAAACTGGCGCTGGAGGAAGTCACGCAGTTGTCAGAAAGAAGACTGCGGTGTGGTTCGAGTCCTTTTTTGAGGTTTATGTTTTGCTTTGTCTGGTTTTTACTTCCCTTGATTTAACCAGGAAAGCTTGTGCTTCTTCATTCTGTGCATTAGAAAATGATACTTAAACAAAACATTCAAATGTGATATCAAGGGATCCTTTACAGCAGCGGCCCCCAACCTTTTTTGCGCCATGGACTGGTTTATGTCCCACAATATTTTCACGGCCTTTAAGGTGTCGCGGATAAATACAACAAAATAAAACCAGTACCGGTACCAAAAAAATAAGATGTATTCATAACACACGGGAAATGTCCCAGGGAAACCGAGTTAACGATAAAAACAATAAAAAAATAACAATAATTTAAAAACACCAAAAACCATAATTTTCACACCCGAGCCTCAATTCTCAATTCTCAATTCTCGTGGCCTGGTACCAAACGACCGGTCCATGGCCCGGGGGTTGGGGACCACTGCTTTACAGGCATCCATATTCAATGTGTTGGGAGTGATAGGGCCCGTCTCACTACTGCCATCATCCGATGTGTGAAGATGGAGACACCAAAGGCGACTGTGTATCTGCGACACACCAGTGGCTTTGACGAAAAAGCAGTATTTGGCTCCCAGGGAATGAGAACAGGCTGGTCATAAAAGTAATACAAGCCTTTCGTCCCGTCATCCACAGTTGAAGCTGTATTACGTGGCTTTCTTTGCACATTCACTTACTTTTTTGAAAGAATGGAAAGAATGATATCCATATTGGTTATAAATGTGACAGTAATAGTTCCCCTGCCCTGAACTTGTGTGTGTGGCACAGTTGAGTCTCCGTAGTATAGGAATGCAGGAATCTTCACTTCCTCCATGTGTGTGTGTTCATGTCCTATTGTTTCACAGCAGTCTAACAGAGGAAGACGGTGGAGCGGTGAGCCCCAGTGCAACACATACACACAGAATAAGATGAATGTATCATCACCTGCATAGTCACGCAAGCACAGATGGCTGTAGAGTCACAATTGAAGCTGCTGGTCCACAACCATCCTGTTTTTGTCCTTGTTCCTTCAGTTGTTTTCTCACTGTGGTGGAGTATAAAGACTTCAGAGTACATACTTTCAAGCAATGCGTGGTTTGTGAAGTACGTTGAAAATTTTAGTTGCTATCCTGTTAATCTACTCTGCAGGATTTTGTCTCTGCGCCACTAGTGCTGCGAAGTACCGATAACTTGCATGTTTACAGGGTAATTAATAATGCAGTGCAGTGGCAAGGAACTGGTAATAACAACACTGTGACTGTGCTGTCATGCAGCGTGGTAGATACTGTAGTTTGGTTTCCTGTTACAGTAGGTATAATACAGATGTGATACTTTCTGCTTCTGCATATATGTGAGGGTCTGAGTGATGTCAAATTTTAAGGGTGTAAATGTGGCTCTGTGAAGGCATCCACATACC